AGAGCAGTTATCTTAATAAAATATTGAGTTATTAAGGATTTTATACTGGCGAATTTTTAGTTAGATTTTGTGTAAGTGATTGACGGAAAAAGTTTTATATAATAGATTTTCTATATTACTAATCTTAAAAATAATAGTATTATTATTATTTGTATAGTATTATATATAATGTTTATTATAGTAATATATAGCATTTTCATTGTATAATAGCATTTTATTGTAGAATAATTTTATTATTATTGAATAACAACTTAAATAATAGTATATTTTATTATTACAATGATTTATTTCATCATCATAATGAATTATTTCATTATTATAATGAATTGCTTTATTGTATAACATTATCTTATAATATTATAGTATTTTTAAAAGATATTTAAACACTGCCTTTTCTCCAAGTCAGAAAGATATCAATATAAACTCTACAACCTACTCTTTGAATATTTATATCGCTTCTGGATATATTTAACCCTTTTTTTAATTATTTTCTTGTAAAAAAGCCTCTTTATTTTGTATTTTCTTAGTAATAAACTATAATTCTATAATATTTTTTATAGTTGGTTTATTGTATTTTTATAGTGAAATTATTGTTTTTTTATTGATATTTTGATTTATTTTAAAGTATTTTTATTTTAGTTTAGGCTTTTCTTTAGTTTTTCTTGTTTAAAACATTTCTTAACCACTTTTATATGTTAAGTTAAGTAATATATTTGTTTGATTTAACTGGCAATGATACATTTTATTATTAAAATATTTAATATATAGTTAAACCAAGCAAGTATATTACAATGTGTATAAAAAAGATATATGACAACCAATCAAATGTATAATCTATTTGTAGATTCTTCTAAAATCTAATTTCTAAATTTGGTATATTCCTAGACTATATTATAAAAAAAATTAAACCAATTAAGATGTTTTAAAAAATTGTTTATAACAACAAATTTTTATTATCAAAAAATATTTTTGCCCAATTTTATATATAATTTGTTTATTTAAAATTTTAATTTTTTTTTTATAGTCAAGATTAGCCTCTTTGGCTTCCCGCTTTTATTAGATTTATGAATCATATTGTGCTTTTTTCAAAGAGGCTCAGACAAGTATATTCTGACAAGAGTACATTCTAGCCATATCTTTTGAGTGCCTAATTAAGTATTTATCTATTACCAGATTCTACACTAAATACCATATCTATAATTCACTATTACTTGAGTTACTTAATTAAGCCCTCTGATCTGAGTTTTCTATGGCAATCCATTTAATCTCATCTGAAACATGCGATACATAAGTCAGTCCAAGTTCTAAGATCATCGCATGTCTATCTATAGAACTACCAGAATGGTTAACCGATTCATTCTTGAGTGCATCACCTGCTAAAGCAGTCTTGTACCCACTATTACTGTATTATCTAGTCTTCCTTGGTAACTTATACCAAGTTTAAGGACAAGTACTTGCAAGCTAAAGCCGCTACAGTTACCTACTACCACCCTTATAGAGTTAACTCAGATTCCAGCATCTACTATACAGACCATCACGCTATACACTCATCATCCCAAATTTCTAATCCAAATGGCCCAGAAGCACTGTGACCTACCTTTGGTCCCTATGGTTGGATTCTTTTCCTCTGATTACTCTCTAGCGGCCAGGTTGGTAAAATGCCTTACTAAATACTTTAGTCCTGTTCAGTTTTCTGATTTCCTGGTTAATAATCCTTTACATAGCATTGTCAAAGATCTGTGCTCCCTTCTATTCGAGTCTTGCCAAGAGGGCTCCCATATGCGTTGACTCTGGATTTAAACAGCTGCTTCACTTGGGTTTCATATAACTCATACATTATACTACATTCCACAGCCTCTCAGTACAACTGGTACTACTAGATTACATATACTAATCCATCTGATATACCACAGTCTGCCATAACACATTCTGAAATTCAAATTTTTGCTATCAGTGAAATTTAAACTCTGATTGCTGCTACTTGGAGGTGCAACAACTTTACCACTACACTAAGTTGCCACACTCTATAATTTGAAATATTAATTATAACTTAAATTTATAAATATTTATTATTAATTTTGTAATTTTTTTAAAAAATTTATATTAGCTATTAAAACATGTTTACAAGTTGAATATTACTAAAATAATATATAATTTATTTATTGGCAATTATTTGTATATTTCAATTTTGTATAACCTTATATTTATCAAATATTTTTACAATTTTAACTAAATATATTTCAGAAACCATCTAAGCAAATTTAATAATTTTTTTATTTTAATTCTATAAGAATATAAAATTAAAAAAATAAATATCAAATTTGCTTGGGTGGTTGTCAGATATTTTTACTTAAAGTTTAGCCAAGATTTAAATGTTTATTAATTGTGAACAGTTTTTATAAACTTTGAGAAAACTATCTTAGCAACCACCTAAACAAATTTATGTTTTTTTTTTATTTTAATTCTATATTTTTATAGAATTAAAATAAAAAATACATCAAATTTGATTGGGTGTTATCAAGATATCTTTTCTCAAAGTTTGACTAAGATTTAAAACATTTATTAGAAACATTAAAGAAATTTTTTATCAAACTTTAAAAGAAGAAGTCTTGACAACTACCTAAGCAAAATTCTACAATTTTTTTAATTTTAGTTCTATAAAAATATGGAATTAAAATAAAAAAGTTCATCGAATTTGCTTAATTGGTTGCCGAGATACTTCTTTTAAAGTTTTTAAAACATTTTCTTTACTGTTTTTAATTAATAGATATTTAAACTTTGGATGTTCTATAGAATAGGTAGGCAATATAAGAAATAAGCTTCACTAATGATTAGTAATCATTAATTTTTAATATCAGAGTTACAGTGTTAGCAGAGTTTGCCCACCTATTTTATAGAACATCCTAAACTTTAAATGAAGATATCTTACAACCACTCAAGCAAATTTGATAATCTTTTTTTGATTTTAATTCTATATTCTTATAGTATTAAAATAAAAAAAAAGCATTGAATTTGCTTAGATGGTTTCTGAGATATATTCAGTTAAAATTGTAAAAATATTTGATATACATAAGGTTATACAAAATTGATGTATGCAAATAATTGCCATTTATTTATATTTTAAATATATTTAGCAAAAAACATAGCTTTCTGCAAAGTATTTACTAGCTAATATACTTTAAAAAGTATTATATTTTCAAGATATGCATGTATAGTCTTATATAATATTTATATTAAATTATCTAAACTTTAATTATATATATAAGAATACCCTGTAAGAAAAAGTGACACATAGTATAATCCAAAATGGCATGGGAAAACAAACATTACATACCTTCACACTGTTTCTTTACTGCAATTTCTGTAGAAAAACGTGCCAAAAACCTGTGCATGGATTTTGGTTTAGTAAACTGCTGCAAAATCTGGTCCATTTACTGTTCAAACTTTATGGGTAAACGTGCCAAAAATAGCATGGTAAAAAAAACCATCCTGTACCTCACATGTCAATTACGATGCACTATCACATGCTTTTCTGTTATTTTAGTGAATGTGCCAAAATATGTGTATTTTGGATTAGTAAACTGCTGCAAAATCTGGTCCATTTGTGGTCCAAAATTCATGTATAGACCGTAATGGCACAGGACATCATACATGCCACTTTTCTTACAGGGATATAGTACATAAGTTGTTTATACAGGGTGGTTTAGTAGAATTTTTTAAAAATATTAGAAAAAAATAACTTTTAATTTATATAAATAAGATATAAATAAATATAAATTACTTTACAATAAAGAAAAAGATTTGAATTGTAGATAAATTTTTAATTTAATCAAAAAGATGAAAAAATTAGTTGAGTTACTATTTGATGAACAAATTTGCGAGAAATAACCCATCTTTTTGTTTAAGAATTTACTATTGATTACACGTACAGAAGGTCACTTAAGTATAACTTTTACGTTTTTTTTTATATATCAAACTTAATAAACAATGAATTCTTAACAAATTTTCTGGCCTGTCTAAAAAAAAAAAATAGTACTTTATTTTTAAAGCTTTAAAGCTTTTTAAACAAATAATCAATACCCTGATATGAATGTAATAAATACAACCCATTTTTTAAACTTTATATACTACTATATAATGAATACTATTATTTCATTTTTTTTCTCCGTATTTAACAGATAATGAAGGTTATAATTCTTTTCAAGGCATTTTCATATTATCTATCTATTAATGCAAAGTAGGAACTGCAGAAGTACTATAGGTTGCCTATAAACAAAATTTTAATACTATATTATTAACTATTAATAAAACAAATTTATTATGCATCATAAAAATGATACAAAAATTTTAAATTTATTTAATCCGTCATTTATTATATGTCAGTTACAAGACCCCTATACATTGTATGTCAGTTACGTACAAGACCTCTATTCATTATTTAATCTTTCTTACTATCTATTATCTTCTCTTCATCATATTCTGCAGTAATTGATTTTTTTATGATACCAGTTGACAAACCAGACAGAAGTCGAGAAATAATTTCCATTTCTGTTTTATTTGGAGATATTTTTTTTAATCCTCTTTGTGAACTTTGTGATATTGATATCAAACCCATTAAAAAAATAAATGGGATAAAGAAACATGATAATATCACTCGAAATTTCCAATTTTTTTTATCCCAAATACTTTTAAGACATTCGAAGGGGATTACCGTATAAATAAAACTTTTATGATTTTCAGTCCATTGTTTATCTAACCAAGGGATAATGATTTCATAATAAATAATAAAGACACTATCAAATACTATACATAAAGAAGAAAAACCAATAAGAGTAATAACTGAAATTTCAAAAATGTTTATTTCACTAAACATGAAAAAAATAGAAATAATAGACAAAATAAGAATAAAAGATGCCACTAAAATTATATAAATAATTTGCAAAATACTTGTCAAGCGCAAATTATCAATAAGTTCTTCAAGTAACTTTAAAGCTAAGCCAAAAGGGTGTTTTTCTTGAATTTGCATCACCTTATTTGTTTTTTCTTGAATTTGCATCACCTTATTTGAAGTTCCGCATATTTTTTTTTCACTTAATTCCTTTAACTCCTTTGAGACTTCTGGGTCTAATCTTGTCTCACATTGTTTTACCGGATATATTCGTTCTGAACTTTTAATAATCTTGTCATCAATGCTTTCTTTGTCCAGTTTCTTCGTAGGAAAAAGTTTTACGAAAGATAGAAAACTATTAATTAAAGTTCCTACACTTCCTATTCCGAGTAAGGAAGATGGAATAATCCTATTAATTTTTATATTATTTTTCTCAAAAATGAGAAGAAAAATACCGAATACAAGTGATACCGTCCAAAAGAAAGCACAAATAATTGACCGTCTACAAGTTGATGATTTTAAACATTCCCATTTGTCAAACATTATTTTCAGCTTATAAAGTGTAGATCTCCTTTCCTGAAAACTTTCCGGCGAATCTTTTTCCCAATCCTCTATGCTATTCGTGTCAGACATTACAATTTTTATTTTTATTTTCTTTCGTAGAGTTGAAAATTAAATAGAATCTAAAACCAACATCACATAATCATGTTTGTACAGTGCAATGAAATGTATACCAGCAAAGTAGTTATACTTGCATAGTTGTAATTTGATAAAGGTTTTGTATACCAAATTCGTACAAATTCGTAGGCACGTACGGTGCAGGAAATCTAGAAACCTCAATCACTTTATATAGAGCAAAAAACGACCAGCACATTGAAGATAAGCTAAATTCAGTAGCGGCTTATTTTAAGTTTCGGCTATATGCATAAAAT